TATAATACTTATAGGCACTATTATAAAATGGTGCGGCTCTATCAAAAGCACAAATGACGTCATAAAATGGTTCAAATCCATACCCGAAAAAAATAAATGTACTTTCATTCAATACGATATTGACAAGTTTTACCCTTCAATTTCGAAACAACTTCTTCAAGATTCTATAAACCATGCAAAACAGTTCACCAAAATTCCTGATAAATCACTGAAAATTATTTACCACACCAGGAAATCTTTACTTTTTTCAGGAAATAATATGTGGATTAAAAAGTCGACGGACCCTAATTTCGATGTCACCATGGGTAGTTTTGATGGAGCCGAATTATGCGAACTAGTTGGCCTCTATATCTTATACACTATTGCCAAAGAATATGGTCTTAATACTACCGGTCTATATAGAGATGATGGTCTTTGCTGCTTCTATAATATCAGTGGTCCTCAATCGGAAAAAATAAAGAAAAATCTAATAAAAATTTTTAAAGACAATTTTAATCTTAACATTACTATCAAACCAAATTTAAAAACCGTAAATTTTCTTGATATCACATTCAACCTTTCTGAGAACTCTTTTAAACCTTAAAGAAAACCAGGAGATAATCCTTTATATATTAACATCAATTCAAACCACCCACCAAGCATTATTAAATCGCTACCAAAAATGATCTCTAACCGCATCAGTAACATATCTTCAAGCAAAGAAGCTTTTGATAGAGCCGCACCATTTTATAATAATGCCCTCAATTCTTGTGGATTCAAAGATAAGATCAATTTCACTCCAAATATCCAGAAATATAATAAAAAATCTCGAAAAAAAACATTATCTGGTTTAACCCACCTTATTCACTCAACGTCAGAACAAACGTAGCCAAAACATTTTTGAGTACAATTGATAAATTTTTCCCTAAAGGCCACAAATTTCACAAACTTTTTAATCAAAACAACAAAGGTTAGTTATAGCTGCCTTCCAAATATCAAGAGTATTGTTACTTCTCATAATAAAAAGATATTATTTCATTCTCATGAAAATGCCAATCAATTATGCAATTGTCGGCAAACCACCTTATGCCCACTGAATGGAAAATGCCTTACAAAAAATCTTATTTATATTTGCAACGCAAAAACTCACCAAGAAGAAGAAGGATATTATTACGTTGGGCTTACTAAGAAAACTTTCAAAGACAGGTGGTACAAACATAAAAACTCCTTTGTTTATGAAAGTAAGGCCAACTCCACTGAACTTTCGAAATTTGTGTGGGAATGCAAAAATAAAGGTATAGAACCTATTTTAAAATGGAATATCCTCGATCAAGCGGAGCCATTCAAACCTGGTGGTAAATTTTGCAATTTATGCTTGACAGAAAAATACCACATTATTACGTCGCCATTGAATTTGCTTAACAAAAGAACCGAGCTTGCGTCAAAATACCGCCATGAAAATAAATTTCTAATAAAAAACTTTAATGTCATCAAAGCGGACACTCCATAGCATTTTTTGTATATAATTTTTGTCGTTACTTTTTATTGTTGTTACATCTGATGATCGCTATTGCGTGAAACTTTTAGTTATGTAATTGAAATATATCTTAATAATTATTTAGTTTTCACTATATTATTTGCTCTACTTTTTTTTAATTATATAAAACGCTGTATTGAGCACTCTTACTGGAAATATTAACATAATTCCTACAATATATATATATATATATATATATATATATATATATATATATATATATATATATATATATATATATATATATATATATATATATATATATATATATATATATATATATATATATATATATATATATATATATATATATATATATATATATATATATATATATATATATATATATATATATATATATATATATATATATATATATATATATATATATATATATATATATATATATATAAAGATTTTGTTGAGAAACAAAAAAAAACATTTTTTTTTCTTCTTAACTCAAGTAAAACAGTCGCTTGAATTAAACTTTATTTATGTTTTTATATTATTTAAACGCTTTTAAATAAAGTAACAATTCGCTGCAAATGATTTTTTGACATGTATTTTTCTTTTGTCTTTAAATTAAAAAATTATCGATTAATGTTTATATACCTGAATGATAATTTTTTTTCATTATTTTTTTAAGATTTTTTTTCTTTTTTTAAAACAAGTTTGTTTTTTTAGTTTCTTTATAACGAAATAAAGTTTTCAGTGCTTTATTAAAATGTTAAAACTGTGGCCAATCGTCAAAACAAAATATTATTTGCATGGTCATATAAAGCCGTGAAATCGCACGCCTTCCTGACCAAGCCTGATATATATATATATATATATATATATATATATATATATATATATATATATATATATATATATATATATATATATATATATATATATATATATATATATATATATATATATATATATATATATATATATATCAGGCGGGAAGCGAGCGCTTTAGCTCTTGCTCTCGTCCACACTCCCCTAAAACGGTTTACAGGAGCAATTTACAGCTCTCGCAAAAGTATAATTTTTCTCACGAAAGTAAAATTGTTGGTGTAACTAAAATAAAAAATACAATCTTATTTTTTAAAAATTAAATGCATAATATACTGCAATTGTTTTTAAAAAGCACTGTTATTTAAAAAAAATTAAAATTAAAAATGAGCGCCAATTTAAATGAGGAGCAGCTCGCACAGCTCCCTAACTTTTTAGGAAAGCTTTTCTCCGCTCTCATGCTTATTTATTCCCGCCGAGGCCTGTATATATTTATATACATATATATACATTTATATATATATATATATATATATATATATATATATATATATATATATATATATATATATATATATATATATATATATATATATATATATAAGTATATATATATATATATATATATATATATATATATATATATATATATATATATATATATATATATATATATATATATATATATATATATATATATATATATATATATATATATATATATATATATTCATGACAGGTACATGCCACCCATGATGGTTTTCCCTCAAAAACGAATGAAGCCAGAATTAATGGATGGAGCACCACTAGGTGCATGAGCTGAATGTCATTCAAGTGGGTGGATACAAAAGAATTGTTTATTGTTTTGTTAAGAAAGTTTATTCAATATTCAGGGGCCAAAATGAGCTCGCCAGTACTACTTATATTGGATGGATATAAATGTCACACTATAAATATTGAGTTTATTAACATTGCAAGAGAGAGTATGGTGTATTTATTCTGTGTTTGCCTCCTGATTGCACACATCAATTGCAGTCCTTGGATTTTGTGTTTATGAAGCCACTTAGCACTTACTATGACCACAATATCAGGAAATGGTTAAGAACAAATCCTGGATGCATGGTCACTCAATTTCAAAAGCTGCACTTTTTAACTCAGCCTACATGGAAGCTACAACAATGACAAATGCTATTAATAGCTTTCAAAAAACTGGCATATGGCCAGTTAATACAAATGTTTTTTCCAAAGCAGACTTTCTGGCAGCAGAAATTGCTGATATTAGTTTCATTAAAACAAACCCTGTGGCTGATACATGTGACATTGCTATTACTAGCAACTTCTGTGCTTCTGTCAGCCATCCATCTGTAAGTATCAGTATCAGTCATCAAATGTTACCTGCAATCCACATATCTGCTTTTTGCAGCAATATGAATGTTTCCAACGTCTACACAATTGCTTCTACAAGCCAATCATCTGATTTACCGGCATAATATCCGCATTTTAATTACTTTTACGAGCAATGTTCATACCACATTATTTCAAAATGTATTTCTTAGTCTTATTATTCCAATAACAAAGCAATCACTGCAAAAGAGACAATCAAGGCAGGGAGGAAAAACTGCAATCCTGACCTCTTCTCCATATAGTGCCTCACTATTAGACACCCTGAGTAAAAATGAGCCAAATCCTTCAAAAATAGGAAAAAGGCTCAAAATGACTAATAAAATGGTTATGCATCAAAAAAAAAAAAAAAAAGCTGAAGTAGATGGACAAAACACTGCATCTAAAAAGAAGAAAACAGTCAAAAATTCGGAGGAAGACAGTTCATGTCTCTACACTCAGGAAAATGACTCTGCTAGTGTTGAAAGTTGGGTTTCTTATGTGATTGCCACAGCTGGGCGTATTACTCTTATGCTGGTTTAGAAGTAAAAGATGAACAGCTTAACTTTATTTGTGAACTATGTCTAAACATTGAACAAATTCCAAAACTTATGTTATTGATACATTGTATACCCCATTTTTTCCATAGTATGGGGCAAATTGTTTATTTTTTCATAGATTTTTAAATTTTGAATAACTTTTTTTTTTAATGTTATTGACATTTTTTTTTGTCAGATCGTAGTTTATGTTGTCCCTTGTCATTTAAAACAAAAATTGTTTTGATTTTAATTATTTTTGACAGTTTTTTGATGACTTTTCCTTAAGTACCCTAGTATACCCCAGTTTCCTCTATAATGTTAATTGATAAAGTTGTTTTAGCAGCCCTTAAATTAAAAAAAAAAAATCATTTTGAAAAGTATTGGTATGCCATGGCATTTAAATATTGAAATATTTAAATGCCATGGCATACGGATTTCTATAGAGGGACATACAAGTTGTCAACTACCTCAGTATAACTCTAAATCTTAGTGACTGCTTTTTTAAACCTTATTTGAAACCTTATTATACATTAAACTCCACGCTGATTCAAATCAACTGCCAAGTATACTAAAACAAATACCTCACTTGGTTGAGCTTAGATTGTCTGTAAATTCTTTTAATAAAGAAACATTTCAAAATACTGCCCCTATATATAATGAAGCTTCATTAAAGTCTGGTTATAAATGTAATCTACCATTTAATCCTAAAGCATTATCAACTGAAAAAAGGAGCAGAGTACACAATATCAATAATTTAATTTGTTTAACATTTGTTTACACAGATTTTTATCAAAGCAAGGAATTAGGCAAAAGTATAGAAATTGATAAACCAAAAATAGAAGAACAAGAAAAAAAGGAGGGTAAGTTCTTTATCTTTATTTTCAACAGAATTTTTTACAATTTTTTTTTTTTTTGTATTATAAATAGTATAAGTTCACTACTTTTTATCCATCAGTACCTAATACATTTACTTACTTAATTTTTTTAAAAACTTTCACAAGAAACAGGGTCTGTAAATGTCTAATTAAAGAAAGTTTATAATTTATATACCACATAAGTTATTTTTTTAAGTTTTCATTAATATATATTTTCATTAATATATAATTTTTATTATTGTTTGTTTTATTAATTCAGATATTAAAATTATTAGATATATTAAAAGTATATTTTATTTAGTATTTTATTATAGTATTTATAATTTGAGGTATGAGCAGTATTAAAAGTATATTTTAATGTTTAATTTGAAATTCTTATTTTTCAAATTACTTATATCCTCTAATACAATCACTAATAATTAAAGAAATTAAAATTTCAATTTCAATTTATTTAAATTAAAATCAGAAACTTCAGTATAAGTTTTGGTAAATATTTAGCCAAGATGTTATTTCAAATTCTTGTTTTTCAAATTACTTTTATCCTCTAATACAATCACTAATATTTAAATAAATTAAAATTTCAATTTCAATTTATTTAAATAAAAATCAGAAACTTCAGTATCAGTTTTAGTAAATTTTTAGCCAAGATGTCGGCTTGGGTATTGAACTAGTATACCTGAAATTTGGGGTTATTTTGGTTTATTTCGACTTTCCCTGTTTTGGTCTATCACTATTGGTAATAAATTATATATGTTTTTTAAATTGAAATCAGGTTTACTATATCTGATTTAAATTTAAAGTTCTTAAGTATCTATTATTGTTGCAGGTATAATAGTTATGCATATTATTTTGAAATTGATCAACTAGCACTTTATATTTCTCAAATTAATTTTACTCGGAGATGTAAGAATCTTTTTTAATTATAAGAAATTTTTATATTGAATACAAATAAGTCTTTAGGAATTTCCCTACCCATTAAAATCCATCATAAAAACATGCCATATAACTCTTTTTTTTTTTTTTTTTTTTTTTTTTGTAATATTAAAAAATATTTTAAAATTGAATTCTCTATAAAAATCAAGTATAATTTTATAAAGTTATCACTTTTGAATTTGAGTCATAAATTTAAACTTAATACTGAGCAATTGCAGAGACAATTTTCAAAATCACAATTCATTTTGGTTAAGTATTACTACACAGTTTTTTAAGTATCTGTTTTGTGTGTGTGTGTGTTTTTTTTTTTTTTTTTTTTTTTTTGTGTGGTTGTTAATATATAATAAATATTTAAATTTATCTAGTGGTAATTTTTGCAACAGCAAATTGTAAAATCAATAATAATAATCTATAAAAACAATGTTATAAGTTTATCCTATTTTTTTCAAACTTATGATCTCTAAACTGCTGCACTATCCAAATGAAATCACTTTTTTAAAAGAATATTAGGGATTCATCAATGTTTAAGGGTCTCAGCTATTCCTAAAAAACTCTTTGTTCAAAAATTATTTTAAACCAGTGTTCTTTTATTATATTAAATGCATTTGGTGGATAAAACATATATTTTTAAAAGCCTTGTTTTAATTGGCTCCCTATTTGAATATAAACCATTTTTGAGCATGTTTGTATTTCTATATACTAGCTAAATCACTGAGTAAAAGTTAATGACTAATTTGACTGTTAATGGAGAAGTAGAATGGATTTCACTTTTTCTCCCTTAGCAATGACAATTTCAAAAAATTTATTACAAAAGAGATTGTTGTATAAAATTTAAAATTTATTGATAAATTTACGTTTAGTTTTCCACAATTTAATGTTGCAAAGCCTAAACTAATACTCTTTTAGAAAAATGTCTTTAAATTGAAAAAATTAATCCACCTGTAAAGTTAACATAAAAATTATGAGGAGGTAAAATAATTTACCAATTATTACTTAACATTGAGTAATTTACAACTGACATAGGTCATAACAGTGTAAGGCAGAACCATTTTCCTTGACATTCCTAAGTTCAACACAATACGTTTTTAGTAATTGACACAAAATAATAACACTTCATCATGCTTTAAATTGGCAAAAGTATCAACTAAATCCTTGTAATATTTTTATAACATGAACTTTTATAACTTTAATTAATTATTAAGATTAAGATGAAGTTAACTTATATTATACAGGAGTTATCAATTTTTTGGTATCCCCTTGAGTAATATTTCTTTTAAAAAAGAAAATTGTTAACTTAAAAACACTTATTGCACACAACTAAATAAATTTTTTAAAAATAACTAAGTTCATTATAAATAACTAAACAACTGAGTACAAATATGTTTAAAACAAAAAAGATTTAATTTACAATCAAACATATATATAACAAATTTAAAAAAGTAAGAAAACTTTGATATTTGATATTGCATTAATGCGTCATATGACAAACCTAAAATAAAAGTTCTAACAATTAAGTAGACATAAAAATTTGTAACCGGACCAGGGTCTTGTTAAGTCTGCTCAACACAGACCATTTCTATATTATTTGGTTGGCCTTCTTATTTCATTAATTTTTAGTAAACGGTAATTTGCTACCATTTACTAAAAATTCCTTTTGCTACTCGAATTTTAATTTTCCTTATTATTTTGACACTAAAATAGAAATTCCTCCCCTCTTTTTGCTTTGGTGAGGTGAGTAGAGTTTTTATATTAAGAGTAGCAATGTTTTTGATGAAGATCTTTTTTACAAAATAATAAAATGTAAAGCAATGACTTACATATATAAGAATGTTTTCTTTCTTTCCTCAAAAGTGTTGCAAATGCAGACTAAGCTAACTAATTAGTTAAACACGTAAATAAAACTTAAGTAACTTAATATTTGACAAATGCACAAAACGACAATATTCTCCATGTTTTTAAAGGTTTTTAGTTACGACCCCTCGTTTACAAAGATCCCTTAAGATACGTACAACAAATTATTAGGCATAAAATTGATAAAGTATAAATGAAAATTGAACTAATTGCATATATTTATATCTTTACTTTAAAAGGAAATCAGGTTTTTTTTAATAAATCTTATAAATGCGTCATAACGTAAATCTAAAATAAAAGAGTAATGAAATTATGATATCAAATTTACCAAAAAAAACAACATAAAACTGAAAATTTATTTACCTACTTATAGTAACCTTAAGTTAAATTAATATAAACATTTATCGAAAATGTAACTATAAAATCAGTTTCGAAGTACAAAAGGATTAATAATACTAAAAAAAAAAATCAAATTAAGATATAAGTTGCATTTTTAGCAAAATATTGTCTTAGCTTTTAGTAAATAAATAAAAGCAGTAAGTTTCAATAATGAAACTACCTATTATTCATTAACAGTAGACACCAACGGGAAGGTAAGTCAAGCTGTCTGTAAACACAAAACATCACAACATTACAACAATAACACATAACAATAACATTACAACAATAACAACAACATTACAACAATAACACATAACAATAAAATCAAGTAAAAATAAAAAATTAAAATAAAAGATGAAAGGCAAAATTAAATAACCAATTCTGAGTTAACTATATTTATCTTTTTATTAAACTTTAATAAAGTATATTTGTTTTTATATTCAATATTAGTTATTCAATTATTTCAAATTTAGGACATTTAAGCACCCTAGATTTAAAGATTAAGGTTGCATACTCTCTCATACACATTACACTAAACATTAGCAGACATTATTATGTGTTTCCAGAATAATTAAAAAAAGGCTAGACAACACAACCTAGCTTTAAAGCAGTAACACTACCTGGCACTAAATGATGTCAAGTCACACCTCTGCTATAAGTACACAGCTTGGCTGGCAAAGTTATCAAACTTGCTCAACATAATACCAAGTCACACCACTTTGAAAACATGGAAACAACATAATTTAATTATATATTTTAGTTCCCACTATTAGAACTGAGGTTAAAAGTAAGGATTTTATGGAGATTTAAGGAGATATTTTCCTAATATTTAAGGAGATTTTTTCGCAAAGAAAAAGTAAGGAGAATTAAGGAGAAAACAATTATATTAAAAACAGAACCTTATTTTTTCAATAAATTTTAAATACAAACTACAATTTTAAATACAAAATACAAACTAATGTCTAGGGCAAATTATTGACCAGACAAGTTGTCTATTATGAAAGAAAACTTTTGAATAAGTTGACCGTGTGAGTGTCAATTGCTTCTTGTGGTAGCAAATTCCAGGACGGTGTGACACGATTGCTAAAAAAGTGATGTTGCTTTTTGAAGTCGCTTACAATTTGTCTGTGTAGCTGTTTATTATGACTTCTCCTGCTATATGCGTTGTTAGAGAACCTTTGAGGAACAAAAAAAATAACATCATCAATTTTATTCAGAATTTTAAACTGTTCAATAAAATCTTCTCTGGCTCTTCTTTTTTCCAGTGTTGTCAATCTGAATATATTTAAACGTTGCTCATATGGGAGATGTTTGATAGAAGAAACTTTTGTTGCTCTGCGCTGAACTCTTTCAAGCATATAAATATATTTTTTTAGGTGAAGAGACCATGCTTGAATATCGAATTCCAAATGTGGGTTCACATATGTGACAAATGCTTCTGCTTCAGAATGCTTCTTTGAGTAGGCCCAATTTGTAATTGGTAACTGAGACTGCAGATTCCACTTGAGCACAGACTTTAAGATAATTTGATATCAGAACACCTAGATCTCGTTCAGTTTCAGTTTCTTCCAAGTTTCGACGAGTGCCTTCTGTGTTTGTCATAAAATATACTTGATTAGATTTTCTGTTGCCTCGACCGACATGCATTGTTTTGCATTTTTCCACATTAAAGAACATCAACCATTTGTGAGACCAGTTTATGGCATGATCAATGTCTGATTATAAAGCTAGCGTATCTTCATTCGATTTTTTGATGTTCATAATTTTACAATCATCTCCGTAGAGCTTAAACTGGCTTGTATTGTTGTCCAGTATATTGT